TACTCCCGAAACCCCCAGGAACTTGTTCCCCCCCCCCCCCCCCCCAATGAATGATTTTGACTGAATGCTGATCCTTGGAAAAGCGGAAACAAATCGCCAAGGAACTCATTGCCTTTGACCACAAATTCTCCAGGTTATTCTCGGGCAGACCGGCTAAAGATATCTTGGATGAGACTGCCGTATCGATGGAGGAATTCAGCAACGCGTTCAATATGAGCCATACGGTACGTCCCTTCGTCATTCAGACTTCTAAGAGATGGTCCTTGCTGATTACATATTGCAGTTTACAAGTGGCCTAGGTGTGAACTACCAGCCCAATGCTCTCGTTTCTAAGCCACCAAAGCAGCATATCGTCAAAAGTGACTCTGAAGTTGAAGCAGACCAGGTTGCTGCTCGTGACCGAGCGCAGAGCACCTTATTTCTGGCGAAAAATTGCACGCCGGGAATGCGCTTCCCTTCATTCCAAGTTGTTGCGCAATCTGACGAGCGGCCTTGGCAGCTTCACCATAAAATGCCATCTGACGGACGCTTCCGACTCCTGGTTTTCGCCGGTGACATCTCCCGGCCCAAGCAGCAGAAGCTCGTAAACAGCCTCGGTTCCTGGCTGTCAACGGACATGCTTCCCAAGTATCCGCTCATTGCGATGTCTCCTGGCTCAGACCCCCACGGTGCCGGCACCATGAAGTTCCGGCCTGATCGCGATCCCTCGATTATCGATGTGCTTCTAGTACACACTGCCAAGCGGAGTGAGATCGAAATCTTGCGCGACTTGCACGATGTTTACCACCCGTTCGATCCTAAGCTGGGCTGGGACTACGACAAAGTCTTCGTAGATCAGGAGAGTCTTCATCATGGACATGGTCGCGCATACGAAGGCTATGGCATTGATCCTGAAGACGGTTCTTTAGTCGTCGTCAGGCCAGACGGATATGTTGGACTCGTAACCAGTGTGGAAAAGGAAGGGTGGGAGGAGGTTGCGAAGTGGTTTCAGGGCGTCTTGAGGTCCGTTTAGATCAAGATTTGGACGGCGCCTTCTAATGACTATTCCATAGCTTTTCCCCTTATATTTCAAAAATATTTGGCTTAGAGTAGGATGATAATTGATGATATCAAACTCCTGCAACATGCAGCATCACTCTGAGTACTCACCATTCTAACATCCATACTTGTGTTAGACCTAACGCATCGGATGATGTCTAATAGGGGCGAAATGTGCGCCTCACTGCCCCCGATGTAATGTCGTATGTATATGAGAAAACGCGACCGAGGGTCGTAGTCAATTGACTACTCAGTCAATCCACTAGAGTATCTTAATAACTGCATCCGGCAGTGGGAATCTCCGCGTCAGACCGGAGGATTAGCGGTCAGCTTGATACAATCACTTACATAAGCAAAGCTTTGTGCAAGCCATGACGGCTTGAAGTGTCAAGGATTTCCCTGAGATGTTACAGAAATGAGAGTTTAGTTGACAATTGCCTGGAAAAGTGCTCTGGACACCCTGATGGGAATGCTCACTGAAAGCACTGCGGGGACGCCGTAGTTCTGTTGGCTTTGCGCAAGGAGTTAGCCCTGGATATCATACAACGATTCTCCACTGTCAGAATCAATTCAGTCAGACCCTCTCACGTTCGGATATACCCGAGACACCTTCAGATGCACGACCGAAAGAACGCCATAAGTCGGACCGGCATGAAATACACTCAGGATTGATTCTCATGCTGAGTTAAGCATAATTGTAGAGTAAACGCTTCTGATTATCCGATCATGACAACTCATACTCATATCTGTCCACTCTGTTCAAGTGATACTTGCCATACTCAACATGATATGACACTCTAGTCTTAGGATAAGTGAATAAAGTACAACGAATATAGCTTTTCTCGGGAGCGCTTTGCGGAGTCTAGCGCTGAGATGGGTATTGGTTGATCGGGTGTTTCTCTCGCCCGCCTAAATATAGTACCAAATCCCTACACTACCTATTCCCACGTGGGCATCGTGTGGTAACCTTACATATGTACTTAGTAGATCCTAGTCATAACATTGCCTTCCCACTTTCCCAATCATACTTCGCACGCCGGAAAGAGTCGCCAGTAAGATTTATGGCGCAGTACCGGGGGCCAGCAGACTCGCTAGTATCACAACCCTGTCATTCTCCGGTGGAAAGAGGTAGAAAGTCACTCCAATTCGTTCTAAGCCCTAACTAATTGACAATTCAGGTGACATGATAAAAGAGCTGGATGCCCTGGTTGTCGGATTTGAGCAACTAAGTTTGTAGGCGCTTGAACTACGTCCCCTTCATCACCCAATAGGTGTTACTACCTGTATCTCATCGAACTGAGACTCGGTGGCTATTCCTCCGCTCCTCGCCACATTACTATTTTCCCTTGAGTTGTGTACATACATGCAATCACCATGGCATCTCTTGTAACCGCACTCGGCCTCCGAGCGGCAGGGGCCGGTCTATCGGCCCCTAACTGGGCACCAGCACTGTTGAGCTGGCAGTTTTTCTTCGCCTACGGCCTTATGTCTTCTCGCACGCTGAAGCAATGGTACGGAATCGACCACAACTCATCCCCAAGAGAGGACCTAGCCAAATACGGCGATTCGGCGGTGCGGTCCGGCAAGATCACACAGAAGCAGTTAGCGATGCTCAAGCGCAACGAGTCCGCGCATGCCAATTCCGTCGAGAACTATACCTTGTTCGTGGCCGCTATGGGCTTCGCCACATTTGCAGGCGTCGAGCCTCATTTGATCAATCGCGCGGGTTTGCTTTATGCCACCGCGCGTATCGCGTACGGAGCCGTCTACATCCTCATCGATCACGATCTCTGGAGTCAGCTCCGGGGAATCACGGGGTGGACGGGTAACCTCAGCTGTCTCTGGCTGCTGTATAGGGCTGGGGCGAAGCTGAACTCAGCATGATAGGCAGAACTACAATTGGTCAATTGCCAAGGAGGGGCGGTAGCTGATGGCCTCGAGTAAGGTGGATGTCTACTCATAATCAGCCTTATTATCGTGGGTACTGGAGATACTGGAGATAAAGGACGTGCCAAGCGCGCGCGAGGTTTAGCTATCGCATGCCGGTACAACTCAAAACTAATGCAACGCCGTAGCTCGTTACCTCGTTACATCGTGAAAACACAGCAATGTCTTAGTTACTGGTTCCCCGAGACTGTTCGTTTTGGAATACTACAGTACGGCCGTAGTAATCTCAAGCATTAATATAGCCCAGTGTATACGGTATACGTGACTGTCTAATAGCATCCGGGTAAAGCTACTCGGTGTTTCACATATAACATGTAACATGGAAGCGCAATATTTCAACTATTGGTGGATTTATGATTACCGTTTTCGCAACTGAACTTCCGAGTCTTGATATAATGTACCTTAGTTCCCTTCGCTCTTCTTTTCTGCTTTTCTGCACAAACATCTTCTGAGATCTTCAGTGCTAAGTGTTGCCTTCGATCCAATATATTACAACAGTGGTTCCAACCCAGAACGCGTCGATCAACATGAAGGGAATTCCTGCGGCTCTGGCCGTCTTTGTAACGCTGGCCCATCAAGCCTCTGCGAACGTTGACCATGTCAGCCTCTATGCATCTAGCAGCGCAACCATTATAGAAGCTTCGGCAACTCTCGTCCTCCCAAGTGCACCGAATCCCATCTCAGGCGATGTTGCCTTGTGGAGTGCTATCCAACTAGATAGTGACTTCATCCAAGGAGTCTCTGAGAATGCTCCCTCTGGTTCAGGCTATTGCACCAACCTCGGGAGCAATTGGTGCAACTTCGCTTATGCTCTCACGCCAAACGCTCAGAATGGCCAAACCGTAATTGCCGCCCCAGGGACAACAGTTCGCACGCATTGTACGCCTTTTACCCGGTTCTCTTAGTGTCAGGATCTAACGTTGCTCCCAGACAAGCTCAATTCGTCAACAAACAAGTGGGATCAGGATGTTTACGTAGACGGTTCGCTGGTGTCTAGCATATCTACAAGTACGTCACATATATCGGCAATTAACAGGTTTCAGACTTGAAGCTGATAGCTACTGGTACAGGTCAAGGACAAAAGGGAGACATATTCTATATCTCCGTAGAGTGTGCAAGTGGTTCTTGTGCCGCCGCTCCTGCTCATAGTGAGACCCCCCTTTTCTCGCTGTAAATACGCTATATTCAAGTGAGTGCTAACATTTGGATTTTCAGGCTGGGAGGATATCTCAATCGTCTTGAGTGCTGCGAATCCCAGTTTCCAACACAGTGGAAGCTGGTACTTTGGAGCCACTGGTGGAGAAATGTCAACTCCAGATGGAGGAAAGACTTGGAACTTTACTACACTCAGTGTCCCCGCCACCACAGATTAAAAAGGGGGATATGTGATTTTACTCCCGAGTTGTTCAGTCTGGTATCTACGTAAAATACATGCTGAGTCATTGCTTAGCTCGTTGGTTGGAAGGGCCCGATCTTCACTATCTTCGTGTTTCTCGAAAATAACCTGTTCGTCTCCCAATCGTCTTCACACAAAAGTCGAGGCTAGGCATTGAGGCCTGCCCCTTAAAAAGCTCCAAAAGGGGAACGCCATGATCTGTCTTTTCGTAGTTACCGTCTAGCTCCCCAAAATTGTAAAATCCCGTCAGCGAGGGCCAGCCATTACTTGCTCTCCTTGCATTTTAAAGATGTCGGCTCGGCAGATTTAACAACTTGTTTCATCCCTTTCAGATCGTACAAGATATAGATATATGTAGATATGTATATGTATTGGCCAGGGCCCCGACTCCGTTGGCAATAGAAAGTGTCTCGTCCAGAGTCGGCAGGCTAGGTGGCTGATTCAACTCACCTCAGAGTCTACTAGCAATTTACAAAGAAATCCGAGCATCTGATTGGCCGGCTTGGTGGTCTAGTGGTATGATTCTCGCTTAGGGTTCACCCGAAAGCAAATGTGCGAGAGGTCCCGGGTTCAATCCCCGGCCAAGCCCATCCTCTGTGGAAGGATAAATCCACGGCATGTCTTCGTGGCTCAGTTGGAAGAGCGTTGGTCTCATATCCATTCGTATGATCCGGTCTAAGATCGGGCTATCCAAAGGTCGTGAGTTCGAGCCTCACCGAGGACATTAATTAATGTTTTGTTGTTCTTACTTCTTAACAAAGTGAACCCTTTTTTTTTTTTAATATTCCATCTTAGCGTTATATTGCAATATTATATTGCAGTTGTTTACGGTCTTACTTTATTTATTACCTTTATGCTGGTATAATATAAAATACCTTTGTTATTATATTGAGTTTATGTTGTTAAGTAAGATGTGTTATGTTTATTCTTTTCCAGGAACGATTGTGAAGGCCAGATATAAATGCTTGCTCGTGCCCAGAAACCAAACTGTTCGATGGAGTCATGAACTCTGCTTCGTTCAGTGATACGCCTGATGTCATAAAGTAATTGAGCCGAAGAAAATAATTGTTAAGCACGTAGCAGATGATTGGACGCTATCCAAATTTCATGTGGTCCAGGAGTTGAAACCGGCGTTTGCAAGACGGCACTAATGCAACCAGAAAGTCTGCGAGTGACAATTCGTATCAACCATTTCCATACGTGAATGTGTATGTCCACTAAACTCCGAGCTAGGCAAGTTGAGAGTCGTCGCAAACAGGGGATTGAAAGTCAGCGATAACATGCATGCAAACGTTGGATTGCAACCATCCACACTACTCCGAGGAGGCATGATCGTGCATCCACGATTGGCTCGATGCCAATGTTTGTTTGGAATACACTATACTCCCCTGAAAATTTCGTGCATGCTTGGCACCTTTATACGCGGTGGCAGGTAGGTTAGAAACTGCAAGACGAGTTTCGTCTTCCTGCAGCCACCGCGGTCTGGACTTCCGAGGGATAGGTGATCCATGAGTAAGTACCTAGGAGCCCTTTTGCAGGGTGGAGATCGGCAACTCGAGTCTAGCAGATGATAGAAACGCTCCTTTACCAGTGAAATGTATGCCGAGAATGTGTCGCTAGGTGTGGAGCTATGTCGAACAGAACGGTGCTCTCTACAGGGGGGAGGGGCTGATTCTGGTTGCTTCTGCCTCCTCGTTCATAGGCGTCTCCGAAGAACTATTAGCGGAGAGGGTGCCTCAACGTTGCGTCGAACTTTTCAAGATTAAGAGTATCCAGGCAAATTCACAAAAGTAAAGTTCTTGTATGACTAGAATGAGCCCAAGATCATATAGTACACTACAACCTTGAAGTGCTATAGTTGGTCTTGCCGAACCTGTCCAATGTGCCACTGGATCAGTAAGACTGGGGGACAGATTTCAGCGCTGGGTGCTACCTCTCAGGCTTGAACTGTTCCGAAAGCTTCCGTAACCGATACCGTATGCATAAGCCTTCCATTTTATCCCATAGGCCACTCAGATTACGCCAGTAGTATCATACCATCTGCTCGTGTGATCGATGAGGCTACTGTGGTAGCTTCCGGCTTTCGTGCTACAGCCTACAAGCACAGATTGTGTTATCCTGAAATTGACAGCCAGTCACTACAAATCCCACATACTGTAGACTTGTACACTAATCAGAATGACTGCATACTAGGTCTCAGCTGACTACGGTTTGGGTGCCGAGCGGAGATCAAGCCGCTACATATGATCTACACAGCCGTTGATCAAGGTGGTATCGCACTAGTAGTAATGATGATTGAGTTCTGACGTACGACAAATTAGTGTAGGCACCCTCGTGCCTTCATGCTGCCAGGGGGACATGTCTTCCTGCATGTTGAGTGTTTATGGCGTGGTAAGGACCCAACAATGAAGATCAATAACTCGCTGCGAAAGGGATGGCCCCGCTGCCAGGATGAAAAGGCCAGTCGTCACACATTGTTTGCGAGTCATCTGGCAGCTTGACACTACTGTTGTGAAACGATGCTTATGTGGTGTACTACCTATGTCGAGACCTTTGTTAGCCTCCCTGTCAGGCTGTGGGTAACTGGTGTGTATGTTGACTCTGGTGTATACATCCATGTAATATTGAAACTATAGCAAGTTGGTATTATGTGGAAGTGGAACTCGGGTCCCTTAATTAAGGTTGGTTCTCTAATTCCGAGTTCTCCAATCTACCCGTATGGGACAAAATCTATCCGTATCGTCCCCTTGGTGTTGTGTTGATGTATGTTGACTCGCTGACATGATAGGTAAATGATTTATCCCTGTCAGTAGTAGAGCCTATATTCTGTCTTTGCATCGCGTTCAAGAATTTGATAGCTTTTGGTCTAGTGTATATGCACGCAAGCCAGCCGAGCCAACGTATGTACGGTAATGTTGCAACCACTATAACTATACAGGTATAGTGTAAGCTGTACCTGGCAGTGTTACGCCTGGCTGCCGTGCATGTTCCTACCTTAGCGTACAGCTAAACCGACCCTGTGAGCGAACCCGCTTGAATGACACGAACTTCCCAACAAGCTGGGGATCATGCCTGGCCAAGGGAAGTTGCAATTTTCCTCGCATGTTCCTTCATGTGTAGATTGATATTGATCTCATTTCGCACCCTGGGCCATTGTGAACACACGCCATATGGGCTATGCAAATTGACTGAGTCATGGAGGCTATGCAGCAAGTTTTTCTAGAATCAAAGTGTAAGATCCACTAAACAGTGTTAGGATGAGTCTAGTATAGCTGTTGGGGTTTATTACCCGTGGTGTGGGCAGTGCTAGGGTGTAGATAGGTAGTCGGTAGTGTGCCTACATGTAATCACGTTCACAGATCTCGAGCCGTATGTATTAAGGCGGCTTGAGATCCATTATTACCCGGCAGCCTTGACGATCATAAAATATTATACACTATGCCAAATACACAACGAACAAAACCTCACTTTGTACCTCGTGTCGTGTGTTGGTAGAGAACACTGAAGTACCTAGGTAGGCCGTAAAGTTATTCCTTTAACGTCAGAGACAAGATGCCTTTCCTACCCCGGCAGTAAGCGTTCAACATTGTAATGTCCGGAATGACCCTTGTTCTTCATGAACGCGCGCTAAGCGGCAAGAGATGTGGGAACCACTTGGTTCTGCTTCGTATTGTCCTTACCTTGTAGCACAATGCAGATGATAGTGTCATGGCTTAATGACCTTTACTATTGCTTCCCATGTATGACCTAAGCACTACACGATCTCGTGCCTCGCGGGTGATGCCGTGCTTTATTTGTCAAGGTAAGTTGTGGGTCTATGCTGTTCTTGTTGGACGATCCGAGACACCCCTCCAAATGGCGAATTGGACTTGGGTCGAGAGGTCCAACATTGGCTCAAGCAACCGCAGTGGTCTGATTGTAAGCGGCAGCGAGGGCTCGGCTTGATAGCAACTACCGCATTCCTGCTCTTAGTTTCGGCTCTAGTATAGATCCGAACGACTGCAAGGATCACAGGGGTCCCTGAACAACAAATTTCACACTATCGACAGGGAGGGAGACCAGATATGGACATACATGGTGCCCGGGCACTGTCGAGCAGGATATGCGTACGTACCTAGCCTCTCTGCTAGTTACTCTTGTGAAAGGGATGGTCAATCTGGTGCCGATTACCGACGAGTATAGGTCAGACATCGCACGACTGATTTGACATTCAGCAAGGATTATTTGAGGACCTAATCCGACCAAACTTGTGGCCCAGGGTTGATCACAGGTGGTCGTTGAAGTAGATAGTGCTCAATGAAACACTAATAGAAGCCGTTACTGCATTCTATTATCCTTTCTCAAACCATGCTTTGGAGGCAAGGGGTTTTTCGCTTGTTGCTGACTGCATGCCAGGTGTTACTGAGTATAGCCTTGCGTGGTTGTATGGTGGCTGGCGGACCTAGAGGCGATCAACTGTTGGCCCTGGCCTAGCAGTGATATTTCCTTGCTCCTTGAAGTGCTATAATTTCACGTAACAGTGATTTGGAACTGATCCCACCATACACTGTCGATCGGAGCCTTGACGCTCCCTGCCTCTGCCTTCTCGCCTGCTGCCCACTGCCATTACGTCTGTGCGAAGTGAACACAAGTCTTATGCACGAAGGGTTTGATTTGTTGAGAGAATGTAACTGAATGGCTCGCCCTGGCGGGCGGGCTCGGTTTACGCGAACACCCAGCCCCAGATGGATGAATGATTTACATAGTAGTTATCGCCAGGGGCATTCTGGGAAGCATGGGAACTGGTGCTTGAGTAAACAGGTAGCAGAGCTCGGTCTTATCCCCAGCTCAATTCAATACACGCTAACAGAAAGTGGTGTGTACCTGGAAGCAAGAAACAAATATTAGAGGTGTGGCAGCTTTCTGAAGTAGCATGTTGCTCATAGTCTAAGCCAAGTAAGTGTCTGGCTTGAGTTCAGCGCGGACCGGGAACATCGGCGGAAACCACACCGACTTGTAATGAAGTACGTGGTGTTGTGTATACTTTGTCATCTTTGTCACGCGGCCCAGTCCATGGCACTATTGTGTTCAAACACCTCATGTTAGAGTGTTTCGACCCTGCAACAGAGCTCATCTAATCTGCAGCATACGCTACGAGAGGCTCTGCAGGTGTGCAGCCTGTACAGCTGTGCAGAGATTTTCACGCCCAGTGCCAGTACCTTGAATGTACCTAGGCTAGGCATACTGAGTATTGCGAGCAGAAAAATTTTCTGTAGTGACGTGGCAGTCAGTCAAAAGAGTTGTCTCAGTTCGATGATGAATGCCTACCTAGACTGGACTAACAGTGCAATTTGCGACTAAAATAGATCAAAGGTGAAAAGCCGATTTCCCCGCGTCGTCTATCGTCAGCAGCGGATCGTAACATTTCACGACAGCTGGATCCTATGGTAGCAAAAGGCGCACGCATAAGCCAACCTCGGAGTGCAGTACTAGAGTCTAGAGTTATATTATCTAAGTAACTCTTCGTAGTGGAAACCGATTTCTGAGCATACCTAAGCGCTTAGAACACACTAAGAGTCATTCACACAAACATGCTCTGCACTAGTCAACCTACTTCTTTAGAAACGTAGAAACATGTTTGCTTTCATGGGAACGGAACCGAGCCTCGTTGAAGGGATCCACTCCGCTGCTGATAACGCTTGACACGAACCATTTCCTCGTGCATACGTAGTGAAGCCATGGTGA